GGGAGGATGACTGTAGGTTATATAGAAATATACCATTTTCATGAAAGAGACTTGCACATCCATGCATTTTGATATCTGCTGGGAGTCTTTGGACTCATCTTCTTCAGATATTAAAAAGATGACTCTATACTGTCTTTTCACTGTTGTGGCTACCACCTACGTAACACTTGTCAACTCACCTTACTTCAGATTTTGGGGAAAGAGAAGTTTTGCTTCCCATACCCCCTTTTAGTGCTCCAATGAGGGTTGAGTCCAATTGCCAGAGCAATCTGAGCAATTTCAGAAAGTTCCACAGGTTCTTTATTTCTTAGAGAAAGAAAGGAGTTTGGTGAACAAAACTGCTTTTGTACAACTGGCAAGCATTGATTGGGCATTGACTGATTCTTGGGAATTTCGTAGAGTGTGGATGATGGGATGATCCAATAGCTGCCCTCCTGAATTTGGTTTGTTAAGAAAATGGATTCAAGACAGTGGAATAATTGTATTGCCAGCAATGCAGAGTTCAATGGTGGAGAGAAGAGAGTTTCAGTGTTTTTTGTAAAACAAAAAACAAACATCTATTGTAACAACAAAGACACAAACATCTATTGTAACATGGGTAAATCATGCTACCTTTGAAGCAATTCTACAATGGTGGTGGATAGAAACCAAGAATTATAACTCATGCTTGAGTATAACTGACATTTGTCTCATATATATTTTGATTTTAAGTGTCGTTACCATTAAGGGATAAAGTCAGTGAAAATCACATTTACTGTCAAGAACACAGGTTCACAAAGTATAGCTGCTTGCCCCAAATCACATTTCTAATAAGTCATAGAGGTAAAAACCTCCTTCCACATTGTTGGTTGTGTTTACACCGAGCCACACTGAAGTTAATGCAATAGCAATCTAAGGGATTTAGTTTAATTTAAAAGAATCAGGGGCTGGGGATTTAGCTCAGAGGCACAGTGCCTGCCTGGCAAGCCCAAGGTCATGAGTTCGATTCCCGGTACCAGAAAAAAACAAAAACAGAACAAAACAAATAAAAAAAAGAGATACTAAGAAGAATTTCCTTCGAAAACTCATAGGCCCAGATTATGTGGTGGTTTTAAACTAGGCCTCCATTGCCAATGTTAGATGTTTGGTGGTTTTGTCTATTGTTAAACATTCATCACAGATTTGGTTACTTCAGATGCAGAGGGTGGGAAGTGTGGGAGGAGGGTGCTCTGTTTGTGATCATAGAAAACAGTAAACTGGCATTTTCTCTCCCCAGCTTATCCAAAAGTTGACAGATGTCGCCGAAGAGTGTCAGAACAGTCAATTAAAGAAGCTCAAAGAAATCTGTGAGAAGTAAGCCTTCATTCCCATTATAATTAATGTGTGTGCATAAATTGATCAAACACAGATTGTCATTTGATGTGCCTGTTTTTTTTTTTCCCTTGTCTTTCCACGTTGACTTCAGAGAGAAGAAGGAATTAAAAAAGAAAATGGATAAAAAGAGGCAGGAGAAGATAACAGAAGCTAAATCCAAAGACAAAAGCCAGATGGAAGAGTAAGTAGAACTTGCCCTCTAACTTGTACCCAGAAGTTTTGTTTTAAAAATTTTGCGTCCTAGTAACAGCTCCCTATTCAAAGACTCCTCTCTGAAGTTTTTCCTTAAAGCTCTTAAGGGATCCCTTTGTAAGATTTTTAACAGTGAACTTGCAAGCAAAGGGTAGTTGAAGAAAAGACTGAGACACAACTAGGGCTTTCTAGATAAGAAATAAGACCTGTCAGGAAATGGCCCAATCCTCACTTTCCAAGCTTTCAGGAAGTTTTCTCTGCTTTTGGAGAATTCAGAGCCTCAGCTTTCAGATGCAGAGGAAATTGACCTTTGTTCAAGTCTAGCAGATTGGACTTTACTTGTGGAAGTAATAAAAAGCTGAGGAGAATAAGGCTGCAGCTTAGTGGTAGAGCACTTGCCTAGGATGTGCAAGGTCATGGGTTTGATCCTCAGCCACACACACACACACACACACAGGGTAGAGAGTTCTGTAAACTTTAAACTAGAAGTCTGAGAGTTTCATATTTGTTGGTTCTCGATGAATCTGTATTATGATTTATTCATCCTTTGCTTTCAGAGAGAAGACAGAGATGATTCGGTCATACATCCAGGAAGTGGTGCAGTACATCAAGAGGGTATGGTTGCTTCCTCACGCTCTCCTACTTGCAAACCATTTGTGAACATTTGGCCAGCTCCCTGTGGCCTTCTGGAAGGACAGTCATGCTGTGTTGTGTCTATTCATCACCAGCACCCAGGCGAGCTGCTCTATGGCAGTCTGTAATAAAAATTTCTGCAAGTTTAATTGCAACACACTGTATATATAAAATATGATATTAAGTGGACAGGAAAGAATCACTTCCAGAGTTAGGAGCTGAGGGAGATGATATAAAAGGGAGTTTTCCTAAAGGAACCTTTAGCTGCTCTTAGTGAAAGAGAAGATGGCAACTTCTGGATCCAGTCCTTTCATTTCATTTCCTGTGGAATTTACACAAAAACTTTTCAATGTTTTTTTCCTGGAAATGACCCTTTTATTCTTTCTGCTAACTTTCTTATAGTTAGAAGAGGCACAGAGTAAAAGGCAAGAGAAGCTCGTGGAGAAACACAAGGAGATCCGCCAGCAGATCCTGGACGAAAAGCCCAAGGTAAACAGCCCTGAATAATCACACGCAATCATTTCACTGTTCTTTCTATTTAGTTAGCATACATGCTTCCTGGTTCACATAAATACCTCACACACTGGCTTTGGTCAGTTCTCACATGTGACACTCATGTATCTTTCTTCATGAACATAAAATACTTTATAGCAATATTCCCCAAGCATTTCTAACTAGCTAGTGAGCTTCTAAAACATGCAAGAGCATGGCACCTACTTTTAGAGCTCTAGTTTAGGTGGTCTGAGGTGTGGCTCAGGTACAGGTATTTTGTAATCTCCCCACTGCTCAAGTTGATTCTGTACGTAGAGACTAAAGGAGCCTCTTTCTTCAGCTCCAAGTTATCTGGTTGTGATGTTGTGATGACACACTTCATCCAGCAGAGGGTATCCTGCACCAAAATCACACTGGTGTTTTCCCAGCAAAATATTCTCATAAACCAGGAAAAAACAAATCTTTTTCCTCCCATAGTGACAGTTTATTGGAATTCCACTTTAAAGTTATATTAGAGCTGGAGGCATAGCTAGTTTTGTAGTGGAGTGGATGCTTAGCTTATGCAACGTCCCTTACTGGATCCCCAGGAACAATAAAACAAAACAACACCAAACAAACTACATTACTTTCATTGTTTGTTAAAATCCATCATCTCATGGATATTAACTTTAATTAACATTAGTATTAATTGAATATCCATAAATCAAATACTTTCAGGTTGTCCAGTGGCATCTCAGTTTTAGACCATTCCATCCATTTTGATTGATCACTGAATATTTAACTGTGTGTGAAAAAAATTGCTTTTCTGTTTTTCTGTCTTTTGATCTACAGTTAAGTATGTACTCTGAGAAGCACTGCTATTCCACATGAATGCTTTTTTGAGTCTTCAAAGTTCACCTGTTGGTTTTATTTGGTTACCTATTCTATTCTCCCAAGTTATTAGAGAAAACTTCCTTGCAGCTAGTTCAAATATATTTTCTAGTTATACATACTCCTCTGCTTTCATATTTATTGTATGAGAAATTCCTATTTTTGAACTTCTAATGTTTTTAGGCTTGGTACTATATATCACAAAACAGGAATTAATACTTACTTAGATATGTTGTTAATTCTTATTTCTTATATAAATATACAATTTAAATATTCTTAACCATCTTGTCAGCCTGTTTAAGCTCAAAATCAGTGGAATAAATGTTAACATAATTTAAGAAGTTGCCTTACCTTAATCTCCCCTTACACCCAGTTTCTCTCCTTGGATTTAGTTACCACAAAACACTTGTGCTCCAAAAATATTAAATGGAAAATTCCAGAAATAAACTGAAAATTCATGTTTTAAATTGTACACCTTTCTAAATAAGTGATAAATCTATCACCATCCTGCTAAAGAGACCCTGAAAGGAAATTATCCCTTTGTCCATTGTATCCACATCACATACACTACTCACCCATTAGTCACTTAATAGCTCTCTGTTATAAGATCAGCTGTCAAGGTATTGTTGTGTTTGTGTAAACCTTTTTAAATTTAATAATGGCTCCAAAATACAAGAGTAGTGGTGTAAAGGAGGTACTAAGCTCTAAAATTTAAGAGGTCAGATTAAATCTGATATTTCATGGCAATGCTGAAAAGCAATAGGAGAAAAACAAACCATATATGAGATTTAGTCATCCACTCAGGGTCTTGCAATGCATCCCCCATGGATAAGAAGCAAAACTGTACTTTGCATTCAAGTGTTCAGATATCTGGAGTAAAAGATCCAAGTTCAACTAAAACTTGAGAAATATCTTTTTTCCTTTTTGGTACCAGGAATCAAACTCATGACCTTAAGCTTGCCAGGTAAGTGCTTATGGCACCGAGACACATCCCCAGCCCAAAAAGGTAGAATTTTTTTGTGTGTGTGCCAGAAATCAAAATCACGACATTGTGCTTTCTAGGCAGACGCTGTGCCGCTGAGCTATATCCCTAGCCCTGAGAAATACTTTAGTAATCAGTACCAAGAGGATATAGTCAGACACATATATTTTTAATCCATGCTCTCTGAAGTTAAAATTTGTTATTATCTTGTATATTCACATAATTTGCTTATGGTTGATGTTTTATTGGCCAGTATCTGTATTTTAAAAAAAAATCCCTCTTGGGAAATAATATTTTCACACAATTATATTTTGTGTGTGTGTACGTGTTGGTCCCACAATGTCAAATACATTAAAATGCAATACAAATATGTTAAAATTATATTACTCACTACACATAAATCATAGACTTTTATGTGACTGTTCTGGGTCATCAGAATTAAAATCAGCTTTGGTAGATGTCAGAGTACCTTAGCTTCTTAATTGGATATAGCCAAACATTAAAGGAACTAAAATAAACCTCTTGGTGAATTTATCAGAAAGATTGCAACCAGCTGCAATTTTAGAGAAAACTCAATTAAATTGGTTTAAATAATAGCAAATGTAGTAAGTCATATTCCTATAATTTAGAAATACCATAGTTTTAGGGTTGGTTAATTTAGTGGCCCAGTCTGGGTATTTTCAGAATTTCTGTTGTCATTGCCTTCCATTCCCAGGCTATAAACTCAGTCACAAGATGGCTGTCATGTCCCTCTGCATCATTCAAAAGCAGGATTGGGAAGGTTTTCACTTTGTTAAACTATCTGAGGTTAAAGAAAACCTTCCTCTCCCTCACAGGATTCCCCCTATTGGCTATAATGGTACCATAGTCTCATGCCTAAACCAATCACAGACACAGGAGTATAAATTTCATGACTGTCTTTGAGTTATTAAGGTTCCATCAAGCGAGTATAAAGAATTCACCTTCTCAATTCCATAGTTACTGCATATCTGAATAAAATGGATGTTTTACCATCAAATGGAATAAATAGCAATTGGGTGGGTAATTAACAGTATGCTACAACCATATTCATTGTAACTTTCTATTTTTTTCTTGGTTCCTTGGAATGAGATCTGAAGTATTTCTATGAAATTTATTCATTCTATTGACTTCACTTTTACTGTAAATAGATACCACCATTCATTTCCCTTTGCTTTTCACCCAGCAAAGTGCCTTTCTGATCATTTTGTTGTAAATGACTTTGAAGGTTGCTCCATGTCAGGTTATAGCATTTATTGAAGATGTTCTTTGGTGATTAGTAATGTACTTTGGAACCATGACTTCAATAATAAAATCAGACATCATACGTGTTAATATTGTAGGACATAGAAGCAAATAAAGAAAAATGACAATAACAATAACAAGGAGAAGTGTGTTAGTCAGCTTTCTGTCACTGTCACAAAAATCCCTGAGATAATCAATTTAAAGTAAAAAAAGCTTATTTTGGCTCACCGTTTCAGAGCATTCAGTCCTTGGTTGCTTGGGCCTGTTGCCTTGAGCCTGTAGTGACACAGTACCTCAAAACAGGTGCACATGGTGGAGGAAACCATTCACCACAAGGTGTCAGCAGCGAAGAGAGAAGAAGTGGCTGGAGTCCCAACATTCCTGTCAAGGGCACACCCCATGAACCTAACGCCTTCTCACTAGGCTCTACCTCCTGAGGTTTCCACCAACTAACAGTAGTGACACAAGCTGGGGAACAAACCTTTAACACATGGGTTTGGGGCAAGGCATTTCAGATCCCAACTGCAGCAAACAGCATGGTAAGAGAAAGAGTAAAACTGTAAGATGTAGAGAAAGACAGAAGCACAGGGCAACAAGTGTGTGCACATGATTGGCTAGGAGAGGCCAAGCAGTGAGCAGTCAGTGGCATTCTGGTGACTGTGGGCCATGTACAAGAAATGGAATAGTCCTGGGCTTCACATAGTCCATCATCCCACGAAGTACTGACTGACCTTTGAAACTTGACTTAGATGTGAGGGAAATTACCAAGAGGAGAAACAATCAATGCAAAAGGATAATAACCCAAGGAAATAAGATGAATTAGTATAGTACCTATAAAAAAGGTAAGTTCACTCCCATTCATTCAGAAGTTCACTGAGTCACTTCCGTTCATTCAGAAAGATGAGAGGGTAGATGACATACAACACCAAGAAATTTATGAACTGTTCCACCGAGTTCTGAACAGACAATTTAAACTGAATATGGATATTTATTTTAGTCGTCCCATTTGACAACAAGCATCAGACCCTTTTCATATGTAGAGTTCATTTTTCCCCATTAATAAAGAGATTTCATAAGTCTATTCTTTTTACATGTAATTTTGTTGGCACTGCAGAAAATGGAAGCAGGTGGTCTGTAGAGGCATCTTATTTAATAGATAAATATTTTGGCCTCAGCTTGACATAAGATCAAGTTATACATTGTTACACAAAAGTCCCACTGAAACTCATTAAATTATAAACAACAATAGACATTCTTAAGAGAATACTCACCTTCTTTTCAGTAGAATTCCAGCAGTGAGGTATTTTACTCAATCCCTAAGAATCCTCAGTTTTAGTTAAGATATATCTTTTCATGAAATTCATGGCTGCAGAATTCTTTTGCTAGATGCAAAAAACGTTGACCAGTCTTCTAACTCAGTGACATAATTGGTTTCATTGGGATTTCCATTCTTGGGTTTGCCAAGACAACGAGAAAGTGTTTTATGTATACAGAACCAGCGAGAAGCAACTCAAGAACTCTACTGCTGAGGCAGAGAAACCACACCTTCTGTGGTCCTGCTCAACTCTGAGTTGGGCTGTTATACAAGAGACCATCTGCTTTTTGCCTGGAACACTTCAAAGAGACTTATTTTACCATGTTGAAACGTCATTAATCAGGAGTTGTCCTGAGTCAGCTGCGAACATTACAATGTCTATTGATCATTTCGCAGCAACTGGCTCTCATTACAAGAAGAATCATCTTTTGAGGGGACTTCTTAATGAACTGTCTCCCTAACCTCATAAAACAGTCAGTAAATCTGTAATTTACTTTTTCACTGACACTTAATTTATCTTTGATGTTTCTTAGGATGTAGGTTTTCTGTTTTAATTTAGCCCATCAT